TCCTCTAAGATGATGTCTTGAAGCCAAAGCTGAAGGAGGAATAAAACTAATGGAAGATTATTGAGTTTTTTCAAAGAGCGTACCGGTATGTCAGTTCATTGTCCAGTGGACTTGTGGATGCAGAAAACTTCATCCAACTAGAAATAGGCAGATGACAGTGAATGGCATAAGAGACACGTATGTTCTTTGTAGGAAGAGAAAAAAAAACTTTTGGTGAGGCAGCCATTGGTAAAATAGAATTACTTTTTTGGATCTCAAGGTATGTGGTCCTCTTGACCAGTGATGTTTTTAATCCTTGGCTTATCATGAGTTACACAAATTCTGATCGTTTCATGCAGAGGCTGCTCATGTCCATTCTTCCTGTCTTGAGTTTTTTTGAGTTGATAATACATTCGAGAGTTGAATTTAATGATGAATGTGGCATTATTACTTGTTTTACACTTTGATGGTGGTGTCAAATCTTGAAAATTATTATGAGCACAAGAAAACTAAAAGCTGGAAAAATATACATACAGACTTTCGCACAACATGACTCAATTATGAAATGATAAACGCCAGAAAAGATGAATTTTGAAACTTAGAATTATGGTTTACATAACTTGGCAACACCTCATAAAGGGCAGGGTTGCCACAGTCAGGGAATTTTATAAAGTCAGGGTAAACTGGGAAATGTCAGGGAAAATTTGTTGAATCTTCTTCATTTGCTTTCTATATTGGGTTTGATGTTTCAAACTACAAATTTTTGTCAAATTATGTCTTCTTAGCCATTCGCCATATCTTCATTTGTCAGGGAATTTCACCAAAATGTATCAGGGAAATGTCGGGGAATTTCATTTTCTAAATTTTGTGGCAACCCTGTCTGATCGAATGACTATTACTTTAATAACCGTAACTTGCTCTGCTATTCCACTTACTTGACAGTTGATGATTATTTCTTTTCTCATGTTTTCAGATGCTTGAATCAGGCAGCCTAGAACACATGTCTTGAAAGAAAATGCCAACTATTTTCGTTCCTCAATGATTACTTTTAGACGGAATTGACGCTGCTCAAAATTGTTTTACTTCTCTCTTACTGCCTTTTTTAAACAATATATATTTTTTTTAATTTAATGGTCATTTTGTTTACTTGCTAATTATTATATTCATTTATTAGTGTTTAAATACGTTAGTGATTTGCTTGTGTAACACTGATTTTTGTTCCTTTTTTTGGAAACTTGAATGAATTTCATGCGCTCATGTAAACAAGCTCGTTCTTAGACTAACAGTGCAAATATGGCAAATTTCACCTAAGCCTTTCTTTAGCACGTTCAACCCATATTTTGTACTTGTATCCCCGTGAAATATCATAACGTTAGTGAGTCAATAGAGTAATGCTGATTTTTATTCCTATTTTCGGAAACTTGAATAAATTTCATGCGCTCATGTAAACAAGCTCGTTCTTAGACTAACAGTCCAAATATGGTAAGTTTCACCTGAGCCTTTCTTTAGCATGTTCATGTTCAACCCATATTTTGTACTTGTATCCCCTTGAAATATCATTACGTTAGCAAGTCAACAGGGAATTACTGATTTTTTGTTTTGTTTTCAAGAACTTAAACAAATTTTCTTTTTTCTACTACCTTATGTCTTTTTATCAACATCTCTTTTTTCATACACCATTTTTTCTCATGACTAATATTAGTGAGTGAAACATTTTTTCATGTGTGTTTTAAATTCTTCCAGTCATTTATTGACTAATAATAGTCGCATTTTGTTCCTGAAGGCCACAATTTTTTTATTTCTCCCTATTTTCTGAATCTGATTTTCTTGAGATGGCTTTATGGAGAAAGTCTGAAAACACTTTCCTCATTTGGAATGTTTCAAGAAGAGCTGATGGTGTTTCATTTTCATTTAAATTTTTTCCTTACAATGAAAATCAGTGAATTATTCATAATTTTACCAAATATTCTGCACATGATGCAGGATAACAAGCAAAAATGTCAAGGAATAATGTTCCTTAGCTTATCGTAAGTAATACAGGCAATGTGTCAAGAAATCATCAACGTTGCAAAAAGAGACATTCAATTTTCAACAACGACTAACATTGGTTGAAAAATAAGAGTGACCATGAGTGAGAAACTCATTAATTTTAAACCATGAACGTTTTGCAGGATTTAAAATAGATTACTAAAATCTTAACCTCTTTACAAAAGAGAGATGAAGTTTCGTAGATTTTGAATCACTAAGGGGCTATGTCCCAGTAAATAATCACTGAAAGAAAAAAAAAATCTTAAATTTGCCGCCAAGAAGTATTCTCTCTTGAATCAAGAATTCTGATCATAATCAACTTATTACAAACTATATACATGCTTAATTCAATATTTTCATTCATGTATCAAGAAAAATTTAGCTTGAATAAAGATATAAAAAAATTCTTGGCGGCCAATTCAAGAATCATCATGCATCTTAATGGATACGGCAACATTGCTCGTGATACCCCCCTTTGTTTTTCTCGAAATTTTCTGATGATGATTCTGGGTGTCCATACTCAATATAAAATCTTTCAAATTGGATGAGCAAATGCAATTAATGAAACGACAGTCCTGCTCCGAATTTACGCGTCTCGCGAATTATGGATGATGCAGCAATGCGACAACATTCCTAGAGATTTCCCCCTTGGATATTCTCGGAATTTTCTGATGATGATTCTGGGTGTCCATACTCAATATAAAATCTTTCAAATTGGATGAACAAATGCAATTAATGAAACGACAGTCCTGCTCCGAATTTACGCGTCTCGTGAATTATGGATGATGCAACAATGCGATAACATTCCTAGAGATTTCCCCCTTGGATATTCTCGGAATTTTCGAAGAATGATTCTCGGTGTGCATACTCAATATCTTATGCGTCAAAGGGGATGAAAAAATGAAATTTTGAAAACCTCAGAGCCTGCCCTGAATTTACGCGACTCGCGAATTATGGATGATGGAGCGATTCAGCAACATTGCATGACATTTCCTCTTTGGATTTTCTCGAAATTTTCAGAGGATGGTCTTCGATATCCATCCTCCTTAAATATAATCCGTCAAATCGGATAAAGAAATGAAATTGATGAAACGACAGAGCCTGCTCCGAATTTACGCGACTTGTCTCGTATTGACAATGGATGCGGCAACATTGTTTGGGGAATTTTCCAAGGATGATTCTGGTTGTGCATACTCAATATCTTATGCGTCAAAGGGGATGCACAAATGAAAATTTGAAAACCTCTGAGCCTGCCCTGAATTTACGCGATTTGCGATTATTAATGATGCAGCAATGGGAACAACATTCCTGGAGATTTCCCCCTTGGATATTCTCGAAATTTTCCATGGATGATTCTGGGTGTGCGTACTCAATATCTTATGCGTCAAAGGGGATGCACGAATGAAAACTTGAAAACCTGAGAGCCTGCTCTGAATTTACGCGACTCGCGAATTATGGATGATGAAGCAATTCAACAACATTGCATGAAATTTCCCCTTTGGATTTTCTCGAAATTTTCGGAGGATGGTCTTCGATATCCATCCTCAATAAATATAATCCGTCAAAACGGACGATTTGATTTTCTTTTTCTCCTTATAAAAGCAGGGATGATTTGTTTCCAAAATGGATTAAATAATTAATTTAATTAATTAACGATAAACATTGATCCCGGAACAAATTCCGCTGGTTTATGAAGGTTCCGGATCTTTCAGAATACTACCTGTTCCGAGAACATTGGACACCAACTTTGTAGGTAACTCTGTAGCTCACTTCAGTCTGCTTCAGTCAAATGTTTCTCATGATAAAAAAAACTCCATCGTGATTGGTTCATTTGTTCTGTTGAATCCTTTGTCCGGGAAATTCAATTTAACGGATTTATAAGATTTGTTCAAGTTTTTGAAAAGTCAATGTGATGGGCAAAATAATTTAAGTACCTAACGTACTTGACTCATCCCGTAAATTTTGACATCTAATCATCAAATTTTATTCTCTTGAACAAAGTTTAAAAAGAATTTTAAGAGTTGGCCACACCACACTCAAGTCCTGTTCAACACCTAAGTAATACTTTCCATTTTCTTGTACCTATTTTAAATTCTCTACTTAATTTATTCACATCACTTAATCATAATGCAACCCATAAGTAATAAAGAAAGTTGGGGGAAATGTCTAATCCTGTAAATATGCCTTATTGGTAAAATTTATTTCTTATGATAAGGATGCCTAGTAAAAGTTTCACCAAATGCAGATATCACTGATATCAAAATTAAAATATCAATTACGATACAGAAAAGCGTAAATGATACAGGTAAAGACTACCAAACAATATTTTAGAAACTATCATCGGGTAGACTTTATTCGAAATAAGGCAGAAGAAAATGTGAGCAACGATAGTGGCACTTGAGTGGACAATGGCATTCAACAGTTTTAGGTATTTGATGCAGATCATCAAATAAACCATAGAAAAAAGAAAAATATACTACTAATGATACCACGCGGCAAACAAGGGGGTAGATAATTCTTCAATGCTTTTATAACACTTATTACCTTCACTAGTGCCTAGAGGTGAGAATATTGTTTTTTTGTTTGTTTCAGAGGCGAGAAGAAAACCAAGTTACGGCAACTAAGTACTGCTCGTATATTTTAGAGGAAGGCGACTGAAGGCCCCAGCCTCTGCCAATCGGAGGCATCTGGCAGGGGAAGAATATTGTTGATGGATTATACAGTCGGAAAAAGAGAAAAATAAATTCAACATCCCAATGCTATAAAGATATAGCACTGGGATGTTGAATTTTTTTCTCTTGGAAAGATTCAATTCCAAAAAAGAAGATCTATCAATTTGAAAACGAAAACAAAAGTATAGTCTACTTACATGGTGAAATTTTTTCTGTTATTTATGGGATATTTCCTTTCAGATTGGCATTCGTTACGGGAGCTAACCGGAACTTAAAATTTATTACTGGATGAAATGTCAAAATTAAGAGTTGAGGACAAGATTTAAAAAAAAATATGGGTGTATTTTACAAAAATGTACAGTGTTCCTTAATATAACAAAACGATGTTCCCCCAATGAAAGTCTTACAACAAACAGAGAAGAAGACACACACAAAAGTAAATAAATGCAGAGGAATGTTTTAACCATTCGACAGCTCATTCATTATGTAGTGGCAAAAAGATATAATAAAGCTTTCACAAACTGGAATATTTCAGAGCCTCCCAGCTTAGACTCGCCATAAACTCTATCCACAAATGTTATGGGTACCTGAAACAAATATACAATGATGAATGAAAACTGAGCAACTCACAGGGATAAAATAAAAATCTTCATTTTAAGTTTGAAATAACTAAGGTGTAGTTGATCAATTATTTTTTTAATCATTCATCGATAAAAGATGACCGCCACAGTTAATTTAGTGCATTTTCTTCTGACACTGCAGGTTAAGTGGCAATTCAGATTCATACTTGAATGAATGTAAAAAATTGATAAATACTTTTCCCTCCAAAACTTTTGATATTATATTGATTGCATTACTTAGGTCTGACTTTTTACTTACAAAATTATATGTATATCAATGGCTAAATGCAAGTAATGCAAATTTTAATTGCAAGGTTTCAACATTTCTGATTTTCCTTGAGAAAAACTGATCTAAATGTTTCCTAGCAATGGAGATGTTGCATGTGTGAGGAATTTGCGATTTGACTAATAATTCTTATATAAAAGTTTGCGAGAAAAACGATGGTGCCACTGCTTTTCCCTGAAATCAACTCCCAAGCTCAAAAAAGCTCTCAAGTTGAGGCCAAAATTAAGAGGATATCCCTTGCTGTCCTGAGAGTCCACCTGTACATCAAGACAAACTCTCCATGCAAAGATAGGGAGCAAGTACATTAGCAGGGTTGCCGTGTTTTCAGTTTTGGAGTCCCCAAATAAAGTGGCAGCGCTGTCAAAGTATTTGCTCCCTATCTTTGCATGGAGAGTTTGTCTTGATGTACAGGTAGACTCTCAAGACAGCAAGGGATATCCCCTTAATTTTGGCCTCAATTTTTTTGAGCTTGGGAGTTGATTTCAGGGAAAAGCAGTGGCACCACCGTGTTTCTCGCGAACTTTTACAAAAGAATCAATAGTCAAATCGCAAATTCCTCACATCTCCATTCTGTACAATTTTTTAGTGATGAAAAAAATTCACGGAAAATTTCAATAGAAACTTTCGGTTGGTTTTTTGTTGAGAAAATAATTAAGTGAACAAAGGAAAAACCTATTTTGTCTCCACTTACCTCACCAACACTGAATCCTAACTGTCGGGCTCGGACTATCATTTCCATCTGGAAGACATAGCCTTTAGAGACACAAGCAGATACCAATTTTTCTAGAACTGGCTTTTTATACAATCTGAAAAAGAGAAATAAGAACTATCAAGTCAGGGTCCAAACCTCAGGTTATTTCACAAAAATGGCATGATGTTCAAAAGATGGGGATGAATTTTGACTGAAAAAGCAAAAAAATGAGAAACAAATGAATGTAACAAAACAGCAATTTGAGTCAAACATGAATGACTCCATTTGTATGTTTACAGTTGATCAAGTTTTGCAGTTTATGATTGTGTGTCTTTAAAGAAATGACTAAAAACCACATTCGCTTTAAAGTGTTTAGTATTAATAGGTATTAATAATTTCACTGAAGAGAAATTTTTGTTGGATAAAGTAAAAGAATTCGTTTATGAGTTTCTCATGGAAAACATTCTCTGGTCCAAAGTTCCAAGGGGAAAAAACCAATTTAGTTCCAAGCAAACAGAGGACTTATGGTTAAGTACATTTTGATCCAACAACAGGGAGTCCTTAACATGATGCATCAGAATTTTCATTTGCTTTTTCTCCAAAACTACTGACTTTCGGAATTGCAAAATTTTCAAAATGTCCTTAACAAGGTTTGATTAAACATTTTAATACATTTTTTGTGCCAAAACATTTGTATATAAATTCTCTGTGATGGATACCAATGATGACATTTGAGCAAATTTGGCAATTAGGTTTCTTTGCTTATGGGTGGTCACTCACAGATATACAAAAGATTGGAAGTAGAGATTTTATATGCCAACAAATTATACATTATACAACAAATTAGGTACCCAGAAAAAAAATTTCCACAAAAATTGCTTGTTACCTGAAACTTCCAGTTAGATCAGAGGCACCTGGTCTTAAAAGTAACTGTGACAGGAAATTGGCACCACGACTCACTAACTTTCTTTTGAAGTCCCAACCGTAAACACCACCATCACCCATGTATCGAGTGCCGGAAACAACATCAAAATCTTCTGATTTTTGTTTTTCAATGAATTTAGGGATGAATTTTGGCTGAAAAAGCAAAAAGAGCAAGAAAAAAATGAGAAACAAATAAATGTAACAACACAGCAATTAGAGTCAAACATGAATGACTCCATTCGCATGTTTATGCTTGATCAAGTTTGGCAAGTTATGACTGTGTTTCTTTTAAGAAAAGACTTAATGCCACATTTACTTTAAAGTATTTAGTTTTAAGTTTTAATCATTGGTTTTACCACATATTTATAAGAATTTGCTATTTGATGAGGAAAAAATACAAATTAAAGAAAAAACTTTTCGGCACAGACCAAGGGCTGTTCTTCAGCTCCTCAAAATATGTGCAGCACCAGATGAGTATGAGAGCTATGGAGCAGCAACCTCTGTAAAGGCTCAAGCTTTCTTCTCTTTTTGTGTTTAACTTCACAGTTAGACGTATTTCTATCAAAGAGAACTATGTGTAGGGGGAAAGATAGGGTGTGCTCGTTAGAGCTCCGGCCATAAGAATGAATGGGAAAATATAAAGCGCCAGTGATAAAGCCACCGCGCCGTCGACTATCTTATGAGCCGCGTCCACAATGCTCTAAATACATGCCCACGGCTCATGCACTATGCACATAATTCCGTTTGACAGAACGTGAAATCCCGCTTCTCCAATTCAGCAATCGGAACTGTGAGCCAACTAAAAGCAGCACCCATGAGCCGTGGGCATGTATCTAGAGCGTTGTGGACACGGCTCATGAGTTAGTTACGACGGCGCGGCAGCTTCATCACTGGCGCTTTATATTTTCCCATTCTTTCTTATGGCCCGAGCACTAACGAGAACATCCCATCTTTCTTCCTGCACATAGTTCTCCTTGATAGAAATACGTCCAGTTATAATCTAGTTTTCTAGATAGTTAGACTAGCTAGAGAATTGTTCATGTTGTGAGACAGTCAATTATGTGCTACGGCTGAATTCATGTAACCGCGACCAAGCATTCTTGTGGGTTTTAAGTGGGGCATAGAATCTTCAAAATAATACTTACATGATGTGATAAATCAGCATCCATGATAATAATAAAATTTCCAGATGCGTGTTTCATGCCATGAATGTAAGCAGTACCTAAACCTAATTTCTTCTCTCTGGGTTTTAAGACCTGGAAAAAAACGAAGAGAGGAAATGCTAAATTGGTTCAGAAAACAAGAAAAAAAAAATTTCCCTCACACGTTCAGAACTGAAGAGAAAACAAGGGAAGATCTATCTGAGCAATAATTAAGATCCTTGATTCCAATTTCCACATTTGATCAAAGGGATAAGGACATCCGTCCAGATGAGATTACAATTTTTGTGCATCTCTCTGGAAGAAGGTTTTAATACTTTCGGGCGGAAAAGATAGTTGTAAGATTTATTGATAAAAAATTCTTCTACTATGGTAAGTAATGAACAACTACTGATAGCATTTCATCGAGGAACTAAGAAATTCAATTAGATAATTTCAGAGAGCCGTAGGTACAAGAAAAATTTCAAAAACCACAAAAATAAGTATCCCTTTGAGCGTAAATTGTGAATATTGTGGATGTGTTTTGCAAGCCCCTCTGCTCCAGCATCCTCCGAACTTCTCAGCGCGACTCCAGTTGCGCTGAGGATGCCAGAGTGTAGAACTGGCGAAATTAAACCCCAATACTGACAATTTAAGTGCAAGAGAATACTTATTCAAGTAATTTAGTGATATGCTTCAGCACTAGAGGGACTTACTATTTTATCTGCACCATAAATTTTTTGCAATTGTTTAGCTGCATCTTGAGTGCCATCTGGACTTCCATCATCAATAACAATAACTTCATAGTCAAAGCCACTGAAACATTCAAAGGAAAAATTTGGTCAGGAAACAAATAGTTACTTGGTAATTGTGATAAAATTTTGCTGGGCTAGCTGGGTAAATACGTCAATTCAGTTTCAAGATAGGTAGATATCACTTAAAATACATCCCTTCTTGCTGCAGGGGAATGACAAGTTTTGTTTGGCACTAATTTAACTGACTTTGTTACAGGATCATAAATACCTGGTAAGACTGTGTAAAAATTCCTCAATAATAAAGAGATTGAGAATCTTCCTAGGCTATGTTAGTATGGAAAGGGTGAATACACATTCAAGGTGCGCAAAACCAGTTTCTTCGAGTGTTTTTGATATTGTTGATGTACTTACCCATGCTAAACCATTGATATAATGCAGACTGCTCATAAATAGATCATCAAAATGACGTTCAAAGTTTAAGAGGTCCCTTATTTTCCTATTCGACTGTCAATCAAAACACTTGCAAAGTATCTGTAGATATTGCTGAGCTTAGTGTAACTGCACACCCAACACAAAATACTTTCTACATCCTGAGTGATGGGAGGTTGCATGGGTTGCAGGATCACTTAATACGCATAAGAATTCTATTGAAAAAATAAGGAATGAAATATTATTGCATTAAGTTGCTTTAGCTTGGCTCACAATAAAAATACCAAGTTGTGATAAGAACCAATTCTCACCTTTTTTCCATAGTTTGAACAATGAGCCAAATGATGATGGGTAAATTTTCACACTCATTGTAAGTAGGTAAAAGGATAGAATATTTGTCTTGCGTGGACATTTTCAGTCATTAAGAGTTCCAAAACTAGTAATAATTCTACCTAAATTCTTATCACACAAGTTCTTATCTTTCAAATTCGTGGCACGGAGGAATTATTCGAATTATCGTCACAGAAATAATCGCATATGTCCGATGTTTTCGGAACAAATAGTATTCTAAAAGATCCGGAACAGATCCGGAACCATCATGAAACAGCACCCTTGAATTTACGCGACTCACGATGAATTGTGGACGATGCAGCAATTCGACAACATTGATAGAGATTTCCCCTTTGGATTTTCTCGAAATTTTCCGAGGATGGTCCTGGGAGTTCATACTTAATATTTAATCCATCAAATCGGATGAACTAATGAAATTGTTGAAACGACAGAGCCCGCTCCGAATTTACGCGACTCGCGATTATGGATGATGCAGCAAATCGACAACATTGCTACATTTCCCTCAACATTTTCCCCTTTGAATTTTCTCGAAATTTTCCGAGGATGATTCTGGGTGTCCATACTCAATATCTAATGTGTCAAAGGGGATGAACAAATGATATTGTGAAAACCTCAGGGCCTGCTCCCTGCTCCGAATTTACGCGACTTAACTCGTATATGGCTGCGGCAACATTTCTCGAAATTTCCCCCTTGAATTTTTTCGAAATTTTCCGGGGATGGTCCATGGGTGTCCATATTCAATATATAATCTGCCAAATCGGATAAACAAATGAAATTGATGAAACGACAGAGCCAGCTCCGAATATACGCGACTCGCGAATTATGGATGATGCAGCAATTCGGCAATATTGCATGAAAGAGCCGTATGCAAAAACGACATTTTTCGCCCCCCCACCAAAACTTATTCAAACTTCGTCTATCAGTTACTAATACTGAAGCGCTTCTTTCCCCAAATTTTCAGACCCCCAAAAAATTTGGGGGGGGGCGCTAGGGGGGGTGGAAGTCAAAACCTGTGACCCTCGATATCTTTCGAACGAAACAAAATATTGAGGCCCGGTTTGGACGAAAAATCGTCTAAAATTGCATACTTTAAGATTCTAAAGGTCAAAATCCCAAAATTAAATTTTTAACTTAACTTATGTGCTTTTTTTCAGTTTTTGAGGAAAAACAATTTCTTTTAAACAGATTAAACTGAAATTTCACATTTTTTGATTTGAACCAAAACCAGTTTTTTAAATTGTTCGTCTTTTTTCGCATCCAACGAGTGGTCGTATAAGCTGGGGCACCGAACGGTTCCGGAGTTATGATCGATTGAAGTTTCCGCTCAACGCGCGCCGACCGATTTTCGCGCGCAAAAAAGTCGGATTTGACTGTTATAAAATCAGATTTAATGTTCAAACTGAGCAAAATGCATTATTAGGGACTCTAGAGGGTCGCTGAGTCCAGAAAATACAGATACTTCCGAAAAATTCACGTTTTTAAAATTACAGCCCCGTAGCGCTATTTTAGAGGCCCACTGAGCGCCGACCGGCCGCTCAGTGGTCCTGTACGGATCCTGTCGGTCCTGTACGGTTGATGAAGGTTCCGGATCTTTTCCGGATCTGTCGGAATACTATCTGTTCCGAAAATGTCAGACATAAACTTTGTATTCTCACTCACCTCACTCACTCACAGGTTATGTTTATCGTCTGTATCTCCATTGTTTTTAGTGGTGTAATTTAGGAAGAAGTGATTTATTTGGAATTAATTCAATAATCTTTCTTTGTTCTTTTGGATAAAATGAGTATATACTCGTTTTCTTAAATTTCCGATTCTCACAGCGTACATCCTGCTGACTCGCTCAAAATGATTTATACTGAACATTTACTGAAGGTCCTTCAATGTACATAATCATCTATCCCCAGATCAGTCTTTTGTCAGCTTTAGCTGTGAGTCACCTAATTCGTCAAATCGTATAATTCAGTGCTTTCAATTAATACTGCATTCCTATTTTTATTTCTCCCTCTTAGTGTCATTTATTGCATTGGAACAACATCCATAGTATGATGGCGTCCCAAGGTAAGGATCGATATCTTTTTCGAGGTGCTGCCAATCAATGCATTCCTCTTTGGCTATAGTTTAGTATTTGGACTGTTCCCGATAATGACCTTCATCCCCCTCACGCTGACGCACATTTGGGAGAAGTGAGAGGGAATGGGGTCCTGGGTGAGGACACACTTGAAAAAACCTAGCTTAGATCTGTTTTACAAAAGCTCAGAAATACAGCATCAGTTGGTCATCGCCGAAGTTTACTAAAGGGGATTTGATGGCTTGGAGATTATGAGTCGGAACGAAACTTGACGTATCGCACCGATAAGCTTTGTGCTTTTACCTCACTGTCATCCTCATTCACTGTTGAGATTGCATACCAGTTGTCATAACGAACCATTGACGTCAGAATTTACTTACCAGGATAAAATATTTCAGTAAGAAAATGCTGCTCATATTTCACCGAATGTGTTCATCAAAGTTGGTAAGTAAATTTTTCAGTCTCATGACAACAGATATGCAATTCCAAAATTCAATGAGAATGACAGTTATCCAAAAACATGGAGCTAATCAATACGTTGTATTGTGTGTTGTGCCAATTCCTGATCTGCCATTTATTAAATTGACTCAATGACGTTTTTTATTGCATCTTGTTCACAGTGTTGACTATCGCATGATATATAGTTTGCTCTGGACTATCAGACTCTGAAAGAATCATGGAGTTACTAACTAGAAACCACATCTTATTTTCTCAATGGAAGAATTTGTTACTTCATAGTTTGTTGTAAATTTTGTCTGTTAGATGCAGAGTTTGAAAATCATCAGATTTCTGAATCTCTAAAGCTTAGGAAATTCAGGAACTAAAGATTTTAAGGAATCATAAAATTCTGTTCCTCTAAAAATAACAAGGTGTTATGAACACCAAAAACTGGTAAAAAATATACACTCAACTTCTACCTCTAATTCTCTCTCCTAGAATTTTAGCTGCGGCTCATCAACAAGTACTACCTGGTAAAATAAAATTGCCTCTGATATCTACTCATTAAAAATTTTGCTAATTATTTCCCCTCTTTTAATTTTTTTTTTTTTTTTTTTTTTTAATTTTTTATTTTACAGACTCAAATCGTCCAGAATTGTATGAAGAAGTCAAGCTGTACCGGAATGCTCGTGAGAGAGAAAAGTAATTGATCCTCATTTATCTGACTAACTTCCCATTGAGAGTTCACTTAGTTTGATTATTTTTATGCAGCCTATTACTTGTAATTACTACCGACTTCCTTTGTTCGACTTGCATGTTGCCCTTGTTTGAACTTTCACATAAGAATAGCCCTTGAACAAAGTGTATTGCATCTCAGTTCTCTCTCCTTATCGTAATTTTATGTTTGTAATGAAGTCAGGCTAGAGGGAATGTAAGAAGGAAGCTCAAATTATTCAGTATTTCAGCTCCAAATTTTCAATTCTTTGTTTTTGATTCTAGTTGCCTTTAATAACATTGAAACATGGAGGTAGAATTACTGGTCGTAATTGATATGAAGTCAAAAGAATATCTTAGATGTTTGAAATGAACTGTGTCCAAAGGCAACAGTGCTAGCTCCACCTAGGCTAAACTGAGGGATTTCTGTCAGTTAGCTGTTCAAGATTGCCAAATGGTGACTTAGGATACCATATTTTTACAAGGAAGACTTTATTTAAAAGTTTATTAAAGAAGTGCTCTGTTTTTCCTCAGGTATGACAATATGGCAGATTTATATGCTGTCATAAATACATTGCAGAACTTGGAGAAAGCATACATTCGAGATTGTGTCACACCCGAAGAGTACACCGCTGCATGTTCAAAATTATTAGTCCAGTTCAAAGCAGCCTTTAAGCAAGTTCAAGGAAATGACTTTCCCACTGTTGAAAGCTTTGTCAAAAAATTCAGAGTAAGTATTGTGAGCAACCTGTTTTTCAAATCGAGAAATGGAACAGGAACACCTCAAGCCGTAGTAAAGTTTATTCCTACTTTTCTAAAATTAAAAAAAAAAAAAATTCCAAACCCAGTAATGTTTTCCATGGAATTTTTTCTCGAAAAGTAAAGTCTAGGAAATAATTCAATTAATGGCAAGTTCCAACTTCTTTTTCCAGAAAAACCGAAGTCCTACTGTAAGACTTTTATGAACTTCTTTCTTCTCTGTGATTCACAGACCTCTCAAGCTTGTCCAGAGAAACTATAAGAATAGTATTTTATAATAATAAATCATACTAAAATTAACTTGGTGTGCGATTTGATTCTAGTAGACCATGAATTTTGGATTAGCAGTAGATTTAGAACGGCTGAACTTGGATAATATCCATCTCTCACTTTAGGCCAAATCTGTTGAGGTTTAACCACTTTTTTTAATATGATCCATACCGAATGTTGATTATGAAACATGTGTTATTTTATTCTATGTTTCTGTAAAGTCTGAAAATGTATGTACCACTGCTGTGTAGTGGTCTATTTTGGATGTTCCTTTTCAGACCATCTTTATTGGCCAAGTCTAAACTTTTTCTACCCTGTTTTATAGTTGGATTGTCCTGCTGCATTGGAGCGTATCAAAGAAGATAGGCCAATCACAATCAAAGACGATAAAGGGAACACCAGCAAATGCATTGCTGATATTGTTTCGGTAAGACCTCTTTTGAAAATTTGATTTTGTGTGGACTGAAATCGACACATTGATAGGCTGAATGGAGCTGTGTCTGATCCCAGATTTGGGGCAAAATTTCCAGGTCCCATGTAAAATTGAGCTGAAAGCAGTTTTTTATTTTTCTCTCGTCTACAAAGGTGTTTTAGATCCAAAAAGGAACCAATTTTTTGGAGTAACTTTTGAATGGTTTTTAATAATTCTCTGAAATTTTGGTGGCATTTGTAAGTATACTCAAACATATATCAGGACAGTTACCTTTTAGTTTATCTTTAGTTCACCCTAAAACTACAACACGTATCTATTATATTTTGTTTGCAGCATTCTCAGTGTTATTCTGGCTAATTTTAAAAAAAAAGTGCCTTCAAGTATTCTCAGCAATAATTATTTCTATTGATTATGCAAGGAGAAGTGTTTCAAAGATGCCAATTCTCCTTTAAAACTCCAGGAGCTTTAAGTGTAAAATTTAAATAATTCAGCCGAGCAAAGAATTTGTCGGTGCCAAATAATAAGTTTAATCTCCCTTTCTCCTCCGAGATCCTAGAGTTATGCTGTAGGGATGTAGAAAATTCATAGCCCTCCCATTTTCAAAAGCCCTTTGTCCTCGAAAATTTAAAAATGATCACCTTTTTTCTGCTCTGATTAAACACATTGCCACGATTCAGAGAAATATCTGTGATTTTCATGGCTGTTTTGTGCAAATCACGTGTTTATTACTTCAATTTTGGGAACAATCCACAGTTTTTCAGCAAAGTGTGCCTGTCTTCCCTGTTTTGGCCGTAATAGATTCTGCCCTGCCGGTCATGTGGTTAAGAAGTTTTTGCACTCCTATTATGGTACAGGAATCTGCCAACTGAGCAGTAATCTTTTATCATCGAAACATTTTTTTTTTTCAGTTATTCATCACAATAATGGACAAATTACGTCTAGAGATCAAAGCTATGGATGAGCTTCATCCTGATATCCGTGATCTGATGGATACGATGAATCGACTGAGCATACTACCATCTGACTTTGAAGGCAAGAAGCAAGTTCAAGAGTGGCTCAATACCCTTTCTAATATGCAGGCTTCCGATGAGTTGAGCGAAACGCAAGTCAGACAGCTGCTCTTTGACCTGGAGTCATCTTACAATGCATTCAATAAAATCCTGCATCAAACCTAAAGTCATAACTGATAGCCATAAGCAATCTCAACCCAAATTTGAGCTTCGGAATTTTATTTTCACAGAAATTCAAAGATTCCCTAGTTTTATTCCAGCATCAGCTGTCTATCTACCGAAGCATCTGGATTATTTGTATACTATTCCCCTCTGCAGCAAATCACAAGAGTTTGCATCTCACGCCTTGTCATCTTCAAGTTGATAAATGAGGAAAAGAGTACATTTGTAAGTATCTGAGTGTTAAGGGCCTGACCCTGCTGCTAAAAATGTTTACTCTCAGTTGAAGATTTGTGCGATTTATCCGCAAAATTTCGAAGAAACCATATAAACTTAAAGTTACTTTAGCATGCAATTTCAGCGTTTGGCTTGTAGCATGTCTTATTTGCACAATCAGAATTGAATTGTCGACTTGAGAACAAAATCATCAGAAATATGAAATTCTGTGAAAAAAATTTTAATGCAGCATTTTGAAAACTTGATAATGATTAGATTGTTTTTTCTTTTTTCAATTTATATCTTTTTCTTATTCCATGCCCTGACCTTCTCGGTCACCATCTTAAAAATTACGGTAAAAGCTACAAATTTAATGAAGGAAATTGCAAGCAATTCTTTCTCGGTCTAATTGATTCAAGCATGCATTTTTCTAAGTGTACAATTCAAGATTGTTCACAGTGTGTAAAATTGTAAGGATTTCAGTTGATTTCTTTACACACTCATTCAAAGCTGGAGAACTTCATATCTTCTCATATTATTCTTTGTGCAAAGGTAAAATTTGAACTGACTCTAGTGCTTGCTAAAATGGTTGTGTTTATGGTGGTCAAGGATTCGGGCAGAAGTATCACCTACTTTTGTAAAGTTATTTTTGTTACCATTTCTGTCTTTTTTGGAAGACTTGTATGTAGCTTGTGGAGACCGCCTAAATCAGATTATGAGTTATTCCATGGCATTCTTGTTAGAGAAAAATTTGATATTGAAATCAAGCTAGTGAAAAGAAAGGCAGGGTTGCCTCTGTCAGGGGATACCAAGAAAAGTTAGGAAATTTGAAAAAATAAAGGAAAACCTAGAAATGTCAGGGAAAATTATGATGCCCAGGAAAAATTGTTCCGTCACCTTTATTTGCTTTCAAAATGGGTTAGACGTTTCTTACAACAAATTTTGCGTAGAAGTCATTTCAAATTATGTCTTTTTTCCCATCTGGCATATCTTCAATTGTTCAGGAATTTCACTAAAATGTATTGCAGAAATATCAGGGAGTTTTATTTTCTATTCATTTCATTTTCCTATCTGTGAGAACCTTGAGAAGATTTGAGATGAAGGTCATTTGGCAAAGATGAGGTCATTACGTCAAAAAATACAATTTGTTCGATAGTTCATGAGGTACGTTAAATTTGAAATAGCTTCTTCTTTCTCCATGATGTCCTAAGGTCCTTTAATTCCAATAGCTGTTTTTTAAGAGAAAGAAAAATTCTTGTAAATTAATTCTCGCAATTTTTTTTTTTTTGTTTTTTGTTTTTTTTTTAATGAACATTTTACACTTTTTGTTCGCTTAAATTATTCAGATTATCTTAGTTCAGACCAAAATCATATCAAAGAGATAAATTATTTGATCATGAGAAGCAATGAAAGGATGAGAGAAGGGGATATTATGTTTTTGGGCTGCCTCTACCCTTGGAGATCTTTGATGGTTTTGTATGGGAAACTTCGAACATGAACTTATTTATTTCAAGAATGAGCTGTCTTTGGCTCCATTATATTTTCTTAACTCCTGTCTAAAGTATGAATTATGAGCTTCTTGGTAATCCTATTTTTTCAAGTCAATTTTGTGCTGAGGTGCATTTCATGGTACATAATTTTCCATGTATGTATTATTGTAATAGATCGTCTTACCTAATGTAAATAATTGCTAATTTCATTTGCCATTTGGATCAAATATCCTTTTCTACTTGAAGTATAGTATGAATAAATTATTTTTTAAAGTTGTTCATTTTATCTTTAGTACTTTTATAATTTATTATCTTTGCGAATAATGTAGGGTTTTGTTTATCGAGAGTCATTGACAAATAGAGGGTCCTACTGCCTTAAATCTGATGTTACGTTAGCATAGATGAAGATTTCCTACTCAATCAAAATCTTAAATAATTATGTAAAGCCAAATCCTTCCAGTATTGTGAATGTTAAGTACCTTCTGGATACTGTTCTTGTTCAATTTAACCGACAGATTTTGAAATAAGAAAAAATTCTTTAAATTATAATGAAGATTAAGAAGAACAAACTTTATATTTAAAAAACAATCATTTTATTCGAAACATTGAGTTTGAGTGCCTGATCTGAAAAATATTAGGAACAGAAATGTATCTGAATAAAACACATCAAAATATATTTGAATTATACTTAAGCATAGAGAGACTGAGAACACAGGTGGAATTTATGAAGAGTAAAAAATTTACAAAAGTTTTGAAAGGGTAAATTGCTTCTGTCAGGATGGCTAAAAAATTAATGAGATCAGATTTACTGGGTTCAAAGCTCATAAGCAGGAAATTTCGCCTTGAGCGGATCTTGAACATCCACGAGAAAGAAAATGACACCAGCAATACCTGCGCAAATGTAAAAATATTAGTGCATTTTTCTGCAAAGTTCGATTGGTTGAAGTAACAACCTAACTTTATCCGATGTTGCCTGATTTCCTTGCACATTTTATTTTAAAAGACACTCTACCTAGAAATGTTGAAAATATATTCTTTACACTCTGTAAGACATTGACAGAAAATTTTAGAGAGTTATGTTGATTAATTTCCCGGTTGAAAGATGAAACATGAGAGGGAATGGACTGTATTTTGCAATGCAGAACGGAACAGCGTATTTACCACTAGTTTCCCTCCGCAGATATGTGCTTTTATGGCCAAGCCAGAAATAGTAGATCCTAATTACAAAATGGAGTCCAAATTAAGCAACAAGAAATGCAGTTACACAGGTTTTGATTAGTTATTTCCAATTACAAGTTTTCATAAACTTGCCTTGCGTCTGATTAAATGGAACTGATGAATGGGACCTCCAACAGAGAATGGACTAAGTTTGACAAAAAAGAATAAAAAATCTAGTACAAGAACACTATGATAAAAGCATGGACTGCATAGGGAAACAAATGGCATAAACGGCATTTCTGATACAAGCCAAATGAGTAAGTTCCTCTCTGCCCGATTTCGTCAAAATGAGAATTAAAGGTAGATGCAATAAATTTTACCATCAAATTCTGACTCTACAAGTGTTCCATGTCGCAGAACTGGTGGTATCATACCGCTAGAAAGAAACTTTGATCCAGTATTTTCTCCAATATTGGCACAAAATATTTGCAACACTTTATAAAATTTGGAAATTGGAATGAAACCTAAATTGAGCTCAAAATCTGATGTGGAGAGAACCGTCCTTAAAAGTATAGAAAATGACCGGTACCAACAGCATCATTTTGGTAAAATAAAAATTTTCATTTAAATAGCTTACACCCTATTTTATCTTTAATGATGGGTATTAACACTCCAACCTTTTCCTTGAGCTTACTTCTTGATAAAACCATGATGAATGGAAACCAAAGCAAAACTGGTTGACCTGAAGCAGACTCCACAAATGCTCTGATACCATGCCTAGCATCTTTCACTCAAAATAACATCTCTGACCAATGAGAGGCAAGGATCTTCAATTGCATTTGATACAGCCTAGACTAAAGCTTAGTTTACATTTCTACCTAGGACTTTCAAGAAACTGACCTTCATACAGTGAGAATGGTCTTGATGGCACGAATGCTTGATTTTGATCATGCGTCAAACACCAGTCTGCAAAGACACCGGCTCTGTACAAATACTTTGGGTCCTGCAATCAGAAAGAAACCAATTCATTATTTTTCAAGATGTTTTGATAATGATTTAAGGGCTACCAGAGAACATTTGAAGGAGCCTAGCTGATTAACAGTTGAAAATCTAAAGCCGAAAAGGATGTAAGATCGACGATTATTGGTTACTGAATCATGTCTAGGTGATGAACCTGAAGACTCTCAGGATTCGGTAAAGCATCTGTAATATAAATTTTGGGCTCCTCACTAATGAGGATTTAGATTTTTTGTTACAACATTAAACCCGCCCAACATCAGTTGATAAATGTCGAACAGAGAAAAATTTTGAATTTGGAAATTTCGGAACTGCTCTGAAACTGAAAGTACAAACCTTTGTAAGCTGATAAAGATTGAGGAACGTGTACCCATTGCCAGCAACTCCGTGGCACAAATTGTATCCTTTGCGCAATATTCCTCTTTCCCAAGTCACCTCCCCACACTCCAGGGCTGCGACTCTATATTTTTCATGACCGAAAACTTGATATGCCAGAGAGAAAAGCTGAACGGCTCCTGGAGCTCCATGACACCACTGGACCAATTTGTCTGAGTTGCTGCCAATGGACGAGGCAAGATTAGTAGAAGGGTGCCGCCTCTGCAGTAGGAAATCGACAGTGGGTCTTACGAGAGAATTTAATTCAGGTTCCGACAAAAATTCACGAGCCTGAAATTGTATGCAAGTATCAATCAATGGCGTAACAAAAATCGAAAAAAAATCAGACGAGATGGAATTTCTCTTATTACACTGCCCAGCAAGAAGATATCCAGCTATAAATCTAAGGAGAAAGTATTACAGTTATACCTCTTTAAAGCATTTTTCACAGAGAATGGCACGCAACACGTTGCTTCCACAAAAACTTTTTTACGTGTTGTTTTGAATGCATTTTTTTAAAACTTGATTCAAACAAATGTTTTCAAATGCTATTTTGAATTGATGTACCAAAATATTGTTTTCTTGAATGTAGTTGAAACAAAAACTTTGAGTTGTGTGGTAGCAAGATAAGGAATTCATGTCTCGCTTGATGTTTGGCATGCTTGGTTTAAAAATCTCCATTTACAGAAGCATATAAATGATTCATTTTTTTTATTCGGAGAATTATGGAGAAAGTTAATGAACTAAATGGATCTGTTGAACCCAAGAGATACAGGCAACTGAATACACTTTTTCAGGAAAAATTCGCTTGAAAATCATGTTGGGCACATTGGAAAAGTCTGAAATCCCCTCCTTAGCGTACAATCTGGGTAGTATGTAACATGTTTTTTCAAGTTTCGCGCGTCTGCGGGCAGTTTTTCTCTGTCATTGCCAACCAGGTTTGCACAGGCAGAGGAGTAAGGAAGAACTATTGAAAAGAAACAAACGATTGCAAAACTATTTCTATTGTATGGTATCATTAGTTTTTAAGAGTTTGTTTCAAGTTTCTTTCTTTATTTTGCTAAAATATAAGCTTTTTTGCTCTCCATAAGGAGAGTTTCTAACAGTTTGCAAGATTGCTTGTTAATTTGGGTTAGGTCTCTCTCCGAGCAAACCTGACTGTCGGCCACCAAGAAAAACTGCCCTCATATGCAGAAAATTTGGAAAAGCATGTTACAAACTACGAAGATTACGCGCTGAGGAGTGGATTTCAGACTTTTTTTATGTACGTAACATGATTTTCATGCCAGTTTTCCATTGAAAAGTGTATTCAGTTGGCTATATCTCTTGCTTGTAACAGACCCATTACAAAAATAAATCACAGAGTTAAATAAACAAACTTTTATTGCTATTAAACTAAGGCCACGGGCCACATTAAGTTTAGTCATTAAATCTATTTATCATTTCAAACTTTAGAAATATTATTTTTTTCAGTAATGATGCATGGATTATTTCTAAAGCCTACCTAATGATGATAAAAAACTGTGTAAAAAAATATTTTACCAAGAGTAATGTGTACATAATTCCTGCTAGCCCATGTGCTGCTCCAAGATAGTATGAATCATGCCATTCGTACATAAGGGGACACTTCCATGAATCTCTTCGTGCAAGCTCTTGTCCAGAACTTAAGATTTTAGAGACAACCTACGGTTGATAGAGATGATACATTAGTGAGCGGTTTCAGGTAATTATTCAATTAAAAGTCATACTGGTGGACCTAAAGACAACTATCTACAGGGGCAGCTTTTATTTATTTGGATGTTTTGGTAAAATTAATGTACCAACAACATTATTTTCAACAAACCCTCAATGCTACATGCTGACAAATCGTTTTTTCAAAATACTTGATAGGTACCTAGTTAACAGATACTAATTTTTACATTCTGCCATTTACAGTCAAGTCTAGCTAGAATAAAATAAATCTGTTAAGAAACTTACCAGCCCATTAACTCTAGGTGATTAATGAGCTGGTGAATTTTATTCATGATGGGACTGATTGAGAGGAAAAGTAGTAGAAAACTTTACGTAACTAATCCCGAGGACAATGTTTGTTAATGAAAATGTTATTCACATCCATAATGCATTTGACAGGGTAGCTGTCTTTGATAAACAGTCATATTTTTACATTTGAATCTAAAAAGATTGGAAAAAATGAATCGTGTTTGTCTGGACATAAAGTCCTACAATGAATTGATACAGTTATCTGACCCTTTGAACTGACCAATATTAATACCAATTTTTCAGCGAAACTGAACATTTTATCAGACTAGACTTGACCCTAATATTGTAAATACTACAAGTACTGGAGTAGAGGGTGTCTTGCTTCTGACAAACACATTCATCTTTAAAATTCTCAGAAAAGCTGAGTGTACAGAGTGGTAACAGGTTTGATAAAGTTACCTGCCGCACTATTGCACCATCAATTATATCGTTTCCGATGCGGTGCCTTAAGAAAAGCAAACTGTGAAGGTAGCCCGATCTACCATATAAAATTTCATCAGGAACATCACCATTCAACTTGTCTGAAAGCTCCAATACTCTGAAAAAACAGAAAGAAGAGTTGTAACTGGTGAGAAAATAGACTTGAACAAAAAGGTTAGTCAATTTATCTTATAAAAAATTCAAAGATTTCACCTACACCTGCACCAAGGTCAGATGTGTTGCACACATTAAAAAAATAAACCGCACTATTCTACCAGGTTGGAAAAATTATTTTATATGGATAGATCAATTGTACGTTATTTCTGGTATTTCTAGCCAATATCATCAAATTTTAAAAAGAACGACAATGAAAATAACAAATGGGGAACTCATCAATTGTTTTTTTCCCAGAGGGTTTTGGATAAGAAGCACAGGAAACAACTTCTAAATGACAGTTCCGCATAAGCTTTTGATCAGCGTGACAGAAGTTTCATAACTATTTGAAGAAAGTAAACTATTTCAGCTCAATTATAAATCCTAGGAAACCATTTCTGATTATAAAAAGTGAAGCCAGACCGGAGAAATTGGAACCTTAATTTTTTGGATTTGATTCCAAAGGGGTCTCCTCTAGATTTTGATCAGACATTGGCCAAAAGTTTCCTCATATGAAACTATTGAACCACGGCCCTCTCGCCTAGTGTGCAATCTTTTGGGCCACTACACTACTTCAGCGCTGAGATACGAGGAGCGTTACTGTGCTACTTCAGTGAGCAACCCTCTTCGAAAATTATTTGAAAATTTTGTTTGGGTTTTCCAGGGCTCATTTGTGGAAACAGCAAAGTAAGAGTTCAATCGTTTTGTAGGAAGAAACTTTTGGCCACACAGCAATCAAAATCTACAGGGGACACTACATAGCCTCCTGTACCTGTTGTTAGTGCTATCAGCCTACAAAGGATGATGGAATTTGACATATGATGAACTTGCCTAAAACTTGACAAAATAATCCTGTATGTTAGAAATTTCTTGAAAATAAAAATCAGCAGTTTTTCTCTAATGCTTGAAGTTCAAATTTTTTTCTGAACAGATGGAAAAAGAAATAAATTAGTTCAGAACTGCTAAGCTTAGATTTTTAATGAGGAAGAAACCCATGCAAGGAGGCAAATTAAACCCATAATGCCAAACAGGACATAAAGTTATCCAGGGAAAACAGTTTGAATTGATGATAAAAAGTCATTCCCTGATACTTCAACTTAATCTTTCTCTCAACACCAACACACACACACCAAGGCAAGGCCTTTTTCAATGCAGATACTTAATGGTTTGAGGACGTGCAAAAGGAGTGCCATATCTGCTGGCTTGCGTTTCAGACTGTTTCAACTGTATGCCAACAACAATGCTTCATACTGACTGTTTTTCTGATTACTCCATATCAACTTACTTCTTAACAAACTGGTTCATGCTCTTGGTGTCATGGTTTTGGTAGCTTAAGACGGCTGCTGTTGCATAAACTCCGGGGGCCCCAATTAGATAGCTAATGTACTTTCTGTGTGCTAGAGGTAAGGCATTGGAGACAAGATCTGCAGCTTTCTGTTGAAGTATACAATATGAATTAAAATAAATAATCTATAGAGAATGATACTGTATCAAAGCAAGAGATGTGATTACAATTTGATAGAAAGGATGGAGAGACAAAATTCTTCTTAAACTTTGTCAGAATCCTGGAGATATGTAGTACTAAAGTACTACTGGCGCTACAGCCCGGGGTGGGCTTTGGCCTCCAAGACAACGCGCCTCCATCCTGTTCTGTCCATGGTCTTTTCCTTCCATCCTGATACGTTCATTACTCTGAGATCTTTCTCTACTTCATCTTGCCATCTCAGCCCTGGCCTTCCTCTCTTTCTTTTCGATAGAACTTTGGCTTTCATGATTCTCTTTGGCATTCTTTCCTCCTTCATTCTGCTAACGTGCCCTAGCCATTGAATTCTTTGCGATTTGATGAATCGAACTATATCTTCTTGTTCCAGTATCTTGTCGATTTCGCCGTTGTTTCGAATTCTCCATTCTCCATTTTCTTTGATGGCTCCAAAGATCCTTCTTATGATTTTTCTCTCAAATCTTCGCAGCATGCTCTTGTCATTCTCTGTCATAGTCCATGTTTCTCCGCCATATGTAACAATTGGTCTAATAAGGGTCTTATATATTTGTAACTTGGTCTTCCGAGATATCAGTCTGCTTTTGATTAGCCTCAAGTTGGCATAATATGCTGCATTACCCGTTTGTATTCTATCTTTAATGGACGTAGTTGTTCTGGCTTCATTATCGATTAGGTTTCCCAGATACTTGAACTTTTTGACTCCTTCAAATTCTTTGCCATCAATTATTAAGTTTTGCGGTTTTCTTCTTGACTCTGAGTATGATAATATCATGTACTTGGTTTTAATTACATTTACCACTAGTCCTAAATCTCTTGCTCTTTTTTCCAATTCTTTGTAGATCTCTATTAATTTTTCTTTAGTTCTCGCAATTAGGGCAATGTCATCTGCATAGGCACATGTTTGACTAGATTTCGTGAATATTGTCCCTCTTTGGTCGACATGTTTGACCGCCATGTGCAGCGCTATTATAAATAGCGTACTTGACAATCCATCCCCTTGCTTCACGCCCTTGTTAAAGTCGAAAACATTGCTCACTTTATTTCCTATTTTAACCTTGGCTTTGGTGCTACTCATGGTCATTGTTATAAGTTTGATGAGCTTTCTTGGTACATTCATTTCATCCAGGGCCTTTATGAGTGCCTTTCTATTGACACTGTCGAATGCTTCCTTGAAGTCTACGAAGAGCATGTGTAAATCGATTCCGTACTCATGACATTTTTCCATGGTTTGTCTGATCACAAATAATTGATCGGCTGTGCCTCTTCCTGTTCGGAAGCCGCATTGGTATTCACCTATCTCCTTTTCGACTACCTTCTTCAGTCTTTCATTTAAAATTGATGACATTATTTTGTATGCCGTGCTTAAGAGTGTAATGCCTCTATAATTCTTGCATTCTAATTTGTCTCCTTTTTTGAATATTGGACAAATTGTTCCGATATTCCATTTTGATGGCATTTTTTCAGATTTCCATATTGCTTTTATTAATTCATGTATTTCTTTGATTAACATTTGTCCTCCATTTTTAAGGAGCTCTGCTGTAATTCCATCTTCGCCTGGAGCTTTGTTATTTTTCATTCTTCTGATTCTTTCCGCAACTTCTTCTATAGTTGGTGTTTGTGATAAATCATCCTCATTTGTGTGGTCTTCTTTTTCCATTGTTTCTTTGTCGTTTAGTATCATCCTTTCCTTTTCATTTAGCAGCTCTTCGAAATGTTCTGCCCATCTCTCCATTATGTCCTTTTCTTCTCCTAGTAACTGACCATCTTTACTTCTGCACCCGCTTGTTTTCGGTTGAAATCCTTTTCTCATTCTATTAACGGCAGCATAGAATTTTCTACTTTCATTTTGCTTGCTTAATTGTTCTATTTCTTCCATTTGTTGTATCATTGCTTCTTTTTTCTTTTTTCTAAGAAGCTTATTAGCTTCTTTTCTTGCTTTGTGATATCTTTCTTCATTTCCTCTTGTGTTTCTTTGCAGCATCTTTTTTCTTGCGTCGTTTTTTTGATCTATGATGTTCATGCATTCTTCATCGAACCATTCTTCATTTCTGGTTTTTCGTTTTTCTCCAATAGTTTCTTTTGCTGCTTCTAAAATTGCTTTCTCAGTTACTGTCCAAATCTCTTCAGGCGTTTGATCCCTTCCTTCCATTCCATCTGTTTCTTGCGTTAGCTTGCTGTTCAAGACATCCACGTACTTCTTTTGTAATTCTTTATTCTTGCTTAAGTTTTCTGTGGCCCAGCGCTTCACTTCATGTTTGGGCCCTTTCATTACATTTGCGATTCTTTCTCTAACTTTAACTTTTACAAGGAAATGGTCTGAGTCGCAGTTAGGCCCTCTGCAGCTCTTTACATCAATTACTGATGACATATGTCTTGAGGATACTAGTACGTGATCGATTTGATTCACTTCTTCACTTCCTGGGATCTTCCAGGTTCCAAGGTGGATTCTTTTGTGATCGAATGCTGTGCTTTTGACATAAAGTTTATTTCTTGCTGCGAATTGTACCATCATGTTACCATTATCATTGTTTTTCTCATGTAGCGTGTGAATACCAGCTACTTGTTTTTGGTCTTCGTTTTTTCCAACTTTTGCATTGAAGTCTCCCAAGACTATCAGCATGTCATGCTGGCTTACTTTTGTACACACTTTTTCGAGTGCCTCGTAGAAACTTTCCTTTTCCGTTTCTTCTTTCTCCTCTGTTGGTGCATGCACTGACACAATGGTGATATTCCTAAATTTTCCTTTTACTCTTATTCGGCAGATTCTGTGGTTGATATTTTCATATTCTAGGAGAGTATTTCTTGCTGCTTTGGATAGTAGGAATCCTGTGCCAAATTGCCCTGTATTTTCACTTGTTCCACTGTATATCATGCTGAATTCTTTCTTGTCTATTCTTCCTTCTCCTTGCCATCTGATCTCTTGGACGGCTATGGCGTCAATGGCATATTTCTGCAGTTCTTTGGCCACTTCCATCATTTTCCCTGCCTTCTTCATCGTTCTTACATTCCATGTGGCTAGTATAATGTCCTTGGTTTTTTGGGGTTTTTTCCGTGATCCATACTCTTTAGGTCGCTTTATCCGTGGGTTTTCTGGGTACCGAGGCTTTGTCTTGGTTTTCGTAGCTTTGTTTTTTTTACGTGGTAGGGTTGCTAGCCCTACGCACAACCCTCCTCCTTTTCCTGGGCTTGGGACCAGCAAGAGAAAAACAACTCTCCTCTAGGCGGAGTTCCTGGAGATATGTATTTTTCATTATTTTTACCGTCTCCAAAATATGGATAAAGCAGAAAATAACTGTTTTGACAACAAATTAATGATTACTTTAGAATGCTTCATCTTGGCAACAAAGGTTTCCTTACAAAATATTTACTTTATGAAAATAGGAGGGAAAAAAGGAACTAAAAAACATCTTGATAAAAGAGAATTAATAGAGCCAAAGGAATTGAAGGTAACAACCTGTAGCATGTTCTTGTCGTTAAAGTGCATTGCTAGCCTTTGAAACATTAGTGCAATCCCCACCGCGCCTGAGTAGAGGGAACCATCAGACCGATCGGAGTCCTTCAGGTACATTCCAATGTGTCCAAGCATATCTCTGATCTTTGTGTTCAATTTTTCCACCAGAGTAGGATGTAGGGTTATCTATAAAGCAGGAAAAAAGTCTTCATGAAAAACACAAAAGAGATGTCCGAATGGAATAGAAATACAGCAAATGGCAAAGAGCCATAACTAGAAAACTGGAATTTGGGCTATGATAAGCTTTAAAAAGCTTAAAACTGATGGGTCAGTTGCGCTGATTACAGCATTGAATTTAGATGGTTACAACTTACAGATAGAAAAAAATAAAATTGAGAGCCGAACCTTTCCAATTAATAGTGGTATTGCCCTTTGAGAAATCAGTGGATAATGTCATCCTACATGTATATCTAGGCTCCTTTTGCCTTGGTCTGGTCAATGATACAAGCTACACAATTTTTTTTAAATTTATGTCATGTCGCATAAGAAATTCTGTAAAATGGCGGATCAAACGAGGATCATCAACCATAAACTTACTTCACACCTGATGATAGGAAAAATGACCATGAAATGTTCATGATGTCGCTTGAGACGGTAACAAAAGTTACAATATGAAGATCACATTATTAAAAAACTTAAAAAGTTTTTTCCAGCATATTATATTTTGGTATCAGGGTTCCTTTTAAAATTTTACTTCAAACAACAAGGAACTTCTTCACTACAGTTAGTTTTCAAGGATTTATACAGCAAAGAAAAATTAACTTGAGCTTGGCATGATGGAAAAAATGTAATTCTTAAAGAGCTTTCACGAATTGAGTTGTCACAGGAATAGATAAAAAATGACACTAATTGTGAAATACGACTAAGACCAGTCTTTACTCTCTGAGTGAAATTTTCAAGATTTGAAGGGTTAGAATAATCACTTTTCGGTTTTTCAAGCAGAACAGGCTGCGCAAATATCACAGAATGCATGTGAGAAAAATCAGTTGAAAATTTCAATATTGAACTGTATACAAATTTATTTTGTCTCCCACTTCATAAAAAGTCTACCTAAAAAAATTTGCACCGATTTCTCAAAGCTATATATCTTCAAACTCTACAAGACTCCTCCATTGTCATTGCCTAAGAACTGTTGGGATTTTTTGGGAAAAAATGAAGAATTCATTTCTAAAACTGGTACTGAAACAACTCCAAAATCTCTCGGAGAATATTAAGTAGGAGACGGTTTTTCCCAAAACGCATCACAAACCATCTGGAGAGCAATTACTGTAAAATCTTTCCTTTCACTGTGAAGACACCCTCAAGCTTAAGGCTCAATTCCAGGATCTTACTATCTCTGATGGCAAAATCAAATCTCTATAAATGCCCCTAAATTGAATAGAGAGCTAACTAATGGACATTACAATACTGTTTTAACATTACTCACCGAAACAGCAATTAAGGAGCAGAAACATCAAGCCTTGAAAGGAGCCTTAAGCCTTGAGGTGTCCCACTAGTCACAGAACAGGAAGAAACCAGCATGGCCTTGTCAGTAAGATTACAAGAGGGAAGTTTTGCTGGATCCTTGGTGCACTTAAGACTTTCCTTAAATGAAGTTTCCCAGGAGCAATAGGTACATTGAGCAGCATAAACGGTAATCTTATGAGCAAATCGCTCAGAGTATCTTACTCATCAGCTCATTTTTCTTATAAAAAAGATACAATATTGCTATGTATAACTTTAAGTTTCGAATGTATTGTACATCCGATGCAGGTTTTTAGAATTGACACTTGAAATTGTCATTCAGTGGTGAGCCATGACGTAAAAAAAAAAAATCTGTTTAAATCCAATATTTGAACGGCATCTTTGAAAAAAACTTCCAGTTTTTGCTTTCTTCCTCTTAACCCCCCCCCCCTCCATTGAAAACACCGAATTCTTTAAACAGTTCTTCAAGAGTCATTGGTTTTTTTTCAGCATGCTTTTACAGTGAAAGTTACATGGTTGCAGGACTGTTGATTTTTTCTCCCCAACCACTTTTCGATTTTTATATTCTTTATCATTTCACATCCAGGTTGTGAAAATCATTTCTTGCATTTCTATTTTGCTCTAAAAATTTTTCGAGCGTCGAATTTTCTTTTGAATGAGGACACTGGATTTCTTTCTTGGCGTTGCTTTGAAATGTTTCTGCACAATTGCTACTTACAAACCTTAAGCCAAATTTGATTTTATTTTCAGACAATACTAAATGTTTGATGAAAGATTACCAACAAATTGAAGTTGGGAACATGGTTCCTGTTAATTTTGTATTGAATGTCTTGACACAATAATGCAAAAAGGACACCTATTATCTCAACAATGCCTCATAGACTTAAGTTGACAAATATTATTCCTTTCAAATAATATGGCCTCATTTTTTATGTCTCTTCTTTGATGGCAAAATTAATCTGATCTTCAAGTAGACAATGATCAGATTCTGATGAAAAATGATTAATAATTGACTAAATGAGATTCTTCATGATGTACTCAAAAACCGAATTTTAAGTATTCTAGTAACAAAGATAGCTTCATTTTAATGTTCAGCGAGAACTTGCTTAAAACAGACTGAAAATTTTCTCAATGTTTTTGATGACAGTATTCATTTTTTGCTCAAATGCACAGTTGCAGTCTTTCAAGTAAATAAATTTTCACTTAGGTTACTTGCTTAATGAAAAACAGCAAGCTTCTTGATGCAAAGCCTACACAGTTCATACCTCAGTTTACATAACTACCACAGCATTAAAAGTAAAATACTGGATTGTGCTGAGTTCATAGACTTAAAATACATTCTTTGTCTTGCTTATTTCTCTTGGTGGTTATGATCAAAGTTACTCAAAACATCATATCTTGCAAAAACAATTGTACAAGAGCTGAACAAAAACTGATGCACAGGCACACTCACAGATACCTCAATATCTGGAGTTTGTCAAACGCAGGTGAATGAAAGAACAAACAGCTGGCTATTAGGTACTTTTATGTTAGTCTCCATGACAAAATCTCTAGCTAATCATTGTTGCTGGCTCTTTTGGCTCTTATTTGGTATGTGGTAAATCACTACTTTTATTAATACATTTACACAAATAGGGGAGGTGTTATTTTTAAAATCAGGAGCACCATAGCCACAGAAAATTTTGTGTTCCTTTGTTTTGGATAAAATTTGAGACCTTGTTCAGACAAAAGTGGTTCGCAGAACTATTGAGCAAATTAGTTCAACGAGCTGAAGTTTCGCCGAATAAGTTATAATAAATTCCAGAAATAAGTATGCTGGAGGTTCTGCAAAACGCATTTGTGTAGACAAGATCTGAAAATTTCCTGGGGATCAAAGGTACTCATGGCCTCAAAACCATTGTAAAGCAGCGAATAAAAGACCAAGTAAGTAATCAAAATAAGGTTCCATTAGAACACCAATGAGATGATCTTTACATTTGTATGACTCACACTTCCTCTGCTTTTTTTATTTGCCTACACAAGGGTTGATGATACATTTTAGAACAACTTATGGACATCTACTTTAATTTGCTATTTAGTTTTGAAAAAAATATTTTAACACTCCTAAAATATTAAAAGGGAGCATTACTTTTTATTCAGCTCTCGTAGGTATTCAAAATTAAATTTTCTCTGTGTTTCAATTGTGAGTTGGACATTTTTAATGATGTGAGAATACAACATAGGTCACATTGGCTTGCAATCACATGGCTTATGTGGCATTGGTCATATCAGTATCTCAGACCAAAGAGGTGCCATACTCCTTTTCAACCATTTTAAGATACTGCGAGAGCACAGACTCATTGATTCTTAAGTATTTAGGAATACAATTAGAACATAATATTGGACTGTGTCCAATTTTTGGAAATTCTTACCTCCAAACCAATGCAAAATAACGCTATGAAACTTTTTACATAAACAAAACTGTTACTGAGGCTTTCCAAGACACTGGCTCGATCATTCCAAAAATATCAATTGGGTACCTATTTGCTCTGGGCTACTGATATTGGAATTCACTTCTTTTCTGGCATCATAAGTTACAAAAACATAGCAAAAAACATTGTTCCACTCGAAGTTAATCAATAACATTAGTTTTCAGTTATACTAACTAGTTGGTTTGGGATCTTTTGACACACTCACAAGCACTGAATTAGTTCTAACGATAAATGAACATATCTAATGGTCACATCTCCTTGCGAGAAAATGTTTGGTTGAACTCAGGGTTAAATCTCAAAGCCTCACAACCTAATTCACACTGGAGAGACTTATCATTTTCTTCAAGCTCAAGGACTGCCTCTACAGACCTGTGATGATCATGATTAGAAATTTTCCCAGCTTTTTTGCTTAGTTTTTCACTTTCGGCTTGCCCCCTATGATCCGGAGGGAGTTGATCCGGTTCATCCAGTTCAATTTGAATTTTGGGTTCAAGCATTGACATAGGAGGGGTTGAATGCGTAGGATCCATTTCAGCTGGATCGATAGTGTTTCCAGACTCAGTCATAGTGAGTGTAAAACTTAAAAGATTTTCAACAACATTATTATCTCTTCTCCTCCTCTTTTCCAGTCTTTCAGCACGATAGGATGTCGATGGTTCAGTCTGCCATACAGAGGGTACGCTTCCATGAATCAGTCTAGGTTTACTGTTTAACATCAGCTGAGAGGCATCATAATTTGAACTCTTAAAATGTTTGGAACAAATGCGAGCAGTTTTGGTGGGCAAGAAAGCCTTCCTTCGACAGAAATAAACCCATTTTGAAAATAGTTTTGGGAATTTCTCTCTGTTGGGAAATCGATGGAAACTGACACCTGAGTTTTTATCATGCCTCTCATTACATCCATAAACAGAGCAATACACCATTTTGATTGACTTTTCCGCTAGACTTCTTGAAAAAAAATATATGGCTGAAAAAGTTATGAATTAACACTCCTGCTGTTTACTGCATTAAGTTTCTCCATTAGTTAGTCCTTAAATCAGAACAACAGAATGCATATTTCCTATGCATAAAACTATCACAAAACAATACAAAATTATTTGTTCACAGGATCAATAAAAAAGAGTAATGAACTTTCACAGTATGCTTGACTAGAAGTAAAATTAATTTAACATTAAGAGAGATAGCGCAGAGAAAATCTATTGAATAATAATGTCCCGAAATAGGAACAAAAAACTGAGAGCAAAAACAATTGGCTACTAAGGAATTGAAAAAGCCATATTTAAATTCTGGCCTAAAAGTACTAGTAGTTATCACAGTTACAAAGTGATACAATGTAAGTTAACAGTAATTCTGCTGGTTGTTTTAGCGTAGCAACTATATCAAATTTTGATCGACTCAGTTTTGTCCATTTATGACTGAGGTTTCTAATGGTTTATTCATACCTTGTTGTCTTTTTCATGGATGATCATGTTAGGTTGTTGCCTGAAGTCTTCATAATTATTTGGATAAAATCTGTCTGTAGCAATCTGCATTGTGCTGGCCAAGTACTTGTCACAGGATTAGAGGTCAGTGCAAAAAAAATAAGGATTGACGCAGTTGATGGCTGACAATTTTCTCTGATGAGAGTCTGAAAGAGAAAATATCAAAGTAAAATTTGGAGGATTAAAAGAACATAAAGTCTTATTGAATGAGGTGATGTCAAATTGTCTTATCATTTTTTTTCTCAATTCTGAGTATCCAGAAAAAGTATAATATAGACGCTCTTAGTGCCACGTCACACAAAAGCAATATATCGACGGTGAAAGTCGGCAATCACATAACTCGGTTTGCGACGTCGCAGACTTCCTGTCATACTTTATTTTTTAAATGGAAAACTACTCAACGGCAATTCTTTAAAACTGTCATGATTTTTCTTCTCAATGCGAAGAAAATTCTGCAAAAACTTTAAGAAATAATATCAATTTGTTCTCCTTTAAAAAAATGGCGTAGAGGCGGAGATTTTCAGACACCGCAAACGAGTTATGTGATTGCCAACTTTCACCGTCGATATATTGATTTTCTTGCATTGATAGCATTGAAAGAGGTTATGCTAATGTTATTGTTTGGATCCGGAAAAATTTCACATTGAAACTTGATGAACACTTGTGAAGGAAGCCTCTTCTGGATTGAGCACTAGAAACAGCCAATAAATACTACGGACTGTAATTAAAAAGAAATCAAAGGTTTCTTGTTGATGAAACTTCGATGTCACAGAAATTTTGCGACATGTGTTGGTGCCTTGGGCACACTTTGCAAACTACGAACTTGTCAGTTCGTACACTGGGCTAAGGCCAAAGACATTGAATCATGTAGACTGTGCATCCTGTGTTAAGGAAGGCGAGACAACTTTTAAAAATTCGCATGCCGATGAGTGTTGGCACCGACCCGCATCGATGAGTTCGTGTGTCCCAATTGCGCACATCCGCCCATGTGCAGTAGCGGCTCCAGTGAATTTTTGTCGGATAGTGAGGCTCCTTTTCTCGGTTAATAAAAAGTTCAGAAAAATGAAACATTGCTATTCGGTTATAAAATTATATGATCTAAAACTTTTCTTCTTAGGGATTTTGTTTGAAAAGCGACTCTAGACAAGATATTCGTGAAACACCGAGCTCGCGAATGAATTCACCATTTTCTCTCTGCAGGCAGGCTCTTCGAGTGCTTGGGACACACGGTCTCTCCCCTTCCCCACCCGCCCATCATGGGGCTCCGGGAGACTTGTCTCGCTCTGCCTGTACTAAACCGAGCCAGACGCACAGTATACATGATTCAATGTCTTAGACTAAGGCCCGTGAAAGATCAATCAATCAGCCGGTGGAGTGGAAATGATAGCGCTCATTATTCATTTGAGCATTGAAATTAAATCCATGAGCTAAAATGAAGAATATTCTATCCCATTTTCAATTGTCTGCCAAACGATGTGGCGAGATGCGGAAAATTATCGGATCAGGGGCTTGTCGCGCCGATGATGGAGGGCAGGTAACCTCCGAAACGCGTCCGCTTCCGTGAAAAGAAGATTTTATGCAAGTGAGTGGTTCAAAATTGTCTTAAAAGTTTTTTAAATTTTTTAGAATCTTAAATTTTACTCTTGTGTAGTGTTTTAAACTCCTAAAAAATCGTTTCATCAGGGGCTTCTCTTTGGTTAGAATGGATTTTGTTTGGGTAAGACTATGTGGTTATATCAACCATTTGAAGATTGATTTACTGAACGAGTGGATCAGTTAGATCCTTGTATGAAGCAGATACAATTCAAAAGTTGCATTTGAACGCAACGGTACAAAATGGACTAAGAGCTGACCTACCTTTGACTGCTAATTACATCCACGAATGAGAACACTTACAGAGGTCTACTCAAGCAAACTCCTGGCAAAATGCAGTTTCAAGAGTAGTTGTTTTCCACAAATTAGCTATAATACCTTCAAAAGAAGTCTAAATATAATGCTGCCGTGCTGCTGATAAGAAGGCGTCTATCTGTTCCAAGTTTGACTCGAGAGTAAATTATAAGTTTCCTAGGTACAGCAGTTCGTGTATTTTTTTCAAAAATCTAATTGAGAATAAATAAGAGGCTGTATGGAAATTCAGAAAAAAAGTATGCAAAATTTTTGGAAAAATGTTCATTCTACGTACGGAGTGTATTAGAGGAAAGAGGAAGAGATGATTGAGATGAGGACATTGGAACATAAAATTTTCAATGTTTTTGCACGTGGCTCTGAAGAAAATTTTTAGGTTATGTTTTGAAATTGTATCATGTGATGTGTCGTCTGTCGTGGAGTTGCTGGCAGATACGTGTACCTGTGTCAATAAATGCGAACAAACGTTCATGAAATCAACCGACTCAATGAACCTCAATCGAATAATGCGAATAGAATCTACTCCGCTGTTCTAATTGTATCAAATACATACCGGTGAACGCATTAGTTTAGTGTTATTAGTAGGTGTAGTTGTATTTCCTCTGATGTTGTACAAGTAAAATGAGTAAGTATGTTACGCACAAAATCTCATGTTTCAAACCTCTTTTCATTCTTTATTCCAAAATGAGCAGTCAAGTATGTCGGAGCGTTTTGTCTTTCACATCAGCTCAGCCCTGACACCATCTGCTTCTTGGCTAGATTCAATCCAAAGCTGTTACGTTCTCCTTAGCAACGATGCAAGTGCGTAGTCACACAGGAAACTTTAAGTCAACTGCTCAGTGAATGATGCTCTGTTCAAGTTATGAGGGCTACAGTCTAAATTTCGACTCAAATGCCAATTCAACCGCAATAAGTAGAATGAATAACTTTAAGCTAACTAGTTAGGCAGCTCAACTTAACGGAGGTAAAACTCTCAAACCATGTTTCTCATTTGTGGGTTTTTAAAATCTCAGCCCCTAATTTATATTTTTAAAGGAGAGCAACCCAACATCATTTCTTGAATTTTTCACAGAACTTTCTTTGCCGGAAAAAGGAAAATCACAGGAGTTTTCAAAAATTACTGTTCAGTAGTTTTTCATTTATAAAGTGAGGTAAGTATGTTAAGAAGCCTGCAATGTCGCAAATCGTGATATGTGGTTTGGAAGTTTCTCTGTCGATATGTGCCTTTCCTTGTCAGGTTTGGCAAGCTTGTGTTTGAGACTAACAGCATTAGGAGGTCGTATCTTAAGCTCTATCTAATTAAAGATCTCTTATCTGTTCTTCGTTCCAGCTTGATAACAGATAAGATTTTAAAAATAAAAAAGAGCAATTTGACAATATACTTACTCTCCTCAAGCTATGAAATATTGGTGATTTTATTATTTCATTTACTGCTTTAATTTACCTCCTATGATCGATCTACTTACATCAGTCAAGTACCTAGTAATTTGGAAATAGTGAGTGTAGATCTATGTCAAATTGAAGCCCGAAGATGCTTTGATTCTTTTAGTTCATTTTTATCCCGCAAAAGTTTTTCATTCTGTTTTCTTTTTAATACATCAAAAACTGGTCATTGAGGTCATTTCTTTGGCATGAAACTAATCTTCTTCTCTTTGTTTCAGGAAAAATCTGTTTCCTCCTCATCTGGAGTCTTTTCTCTTGTGTTTCTGCTTGGGATAGTGACGAGTTAGAAGTATTTGATGTTGTTGAAGATGTAAAAGAAAATTTTTACACTTTACTCCAAGTACCAAAGGTTTGTTTCACTGAAGACTATTTTAAAAATGACACCAAAAAATTAAGGTTTTTTGTTCCCAATAATGGCAATAATATGAGCAGTAGAGACAATAAAATCACAAAGGTTTGGTTGCTATTTCAGAATAATCGAATTAACTCACCCTCCATAAGAAAGGTACCCATTTTTGAGATCTCCCTCTCTCTGTCATCAATGGATTGATGGGTCATCTACAAATGATGGGGTCCTATAGGGGTGAGGGTAGAAGGTAAATGGATGTCTGACATGTACTTGACAAGGGGATGGAAGAATCATGCTGATTCTGATGGCAGATTTTCAAGAAAAATTAAAGCTGCCAGAAACCTAAAAAGTTTGTAAATTGAAGGAGTTCATGAAAGAGAGAATGTGTGAGATTTCACTAACTTCTATTCATTGAATCAACTGAATTTAAGTTATAATGCTATAGATTTATTCCATCACTTTTTCTCAGTATTTTATATCTATGTCCAAATTGGAAGGAACAGAGGGAGGGGAGTTAAAGAAATTGGGAAAAGTACCTGATATCTTTCATGGACAATCCAAAAGAGAATTTTCACAACGGAACATAGTAGTTTGCCTAGTTTAAATTCACTCTCTGGGGGATTTCAAAAGGATGTTGCAATCAATGAAGAGAAGGCTGCAATTGCAGCTTATAATCTGCGTTTGATTCCTCTGTCAGCTGGTTCGCCCGCAAGATGAGAACAGCTCCATTTGGTCCGAGAAAGTGATTAATACTTGACCAAAAAAATTCCCTTCGTTGGTATTCCTCTAGTGGTAAGTAGGAAATTGTATGCTCCTGGAATAAAAGAGCCTTAAGTTTTTTCTAAAATCAACTTTTAAATGTTCCCTATTTGCATAAAACAATTACGAGTGCTGCCTATTTTAAGCGCTGGGAAATGGGTGAGAAGAGCTAGTTGATCCGAGAGATGGAAAATTGACTACCACATAATTATATGAGTTTTGCAAAGAATACGCACAGATGTCACGTCACATGAGTTGGCAGTTGTTTATTTCTGACTGTCACGGACAGTAGATAAATTTAGTAGTAGACATCTCTTCAGAGGAAGCTGTTAGATATTTGATATCTGCGCACAAAGACAGCACAGCGTCACCATCGCACACGGTCAGTCCTCCATCGCGATTAGGCAGCAGCAGCACAATCGCTTACAAACAGAAAGTATACAACTGTCAACTTATCTGAAGCAAGTTCTCACTGTGATCCTAATAACTTCCAATGATTGCAGCACAGCTTTTGCATGATTTTGACTAATCATCTTTGTTAATCCTCAATTTTTCTCTGTAAATTAACTCAATCTTGGTGAGCTTCATCCAGATTATTCAAAGGAGCACTAAAAAACAGTTGTTTTTCCTTTTTTGTGATTGCCTTTATGTATATTCTCTCTCACTTAATTTCAGGATGCAAATTTACAAGCCATCAAAAAGGCGTTTCGGAGTCTCTCCTTGGTCCTTCATCCTGACAAGAATGATGCCCCGGATGCTGAGCAGAAATTCCGTCAGGTAAAAAGTTGAACTAATCTCTTACCTAGGAGCCTTTTCTTTAAAAAATCAACTGAGAACAAATAACCACTGTAATAACAGACTGCAAGTAAAGAAGTGTGCAAAATGCAAAGTAAACATGGAAATATTTCAAATCAACCAAACCAAACCCACACAAATTTTGACAAAATTGAATGGAAAAACCAATGTGTTTAGGAATCCCTTCTGAGGAAGGGAGCAGGTTGTCCTCAGAATGGACTGGTTTTTCAGTTATTTTTTTGGGTGTGACTTTTTTTTCAATCCTTTAATTTAAACATGTTTATTTTAAGCTAACTTACTTGAAATTATTATTTTTCTTTATTTACACCTCATTGAACAGGTCCTTTGCACTGCATACAACATAGGATCAAGTTCTAATTTTAAGTTCAAATCTTTTTTGAAATGTCTTGCTTATTCTGAATTTGTACCTAACCTGGAGTCGTCATTTTTTAGTCAGTAAAATTTAATTTTATCATAATAACAATTTATATTCCGTTTAGTCAAATATTTGCTTCAGTTTTTGTAAGAGCAATCAATTTTTTTCAGCTTGTGAGCGTCTATGATATTTTACGTGATCCAGCTAAAAGAGCCCACTATGATCGTGTTCTGGAAACCGGTTTACCAGACTGGCGCATGCCAGTCTACTACTACCGTAGAGTTCGCCGTATGGGTCTTTTCGAGATGATCATTATTCTGTTTGTAATAGTTTCAATCGGCCAATATCTAGTCTCTTGGGCTGCTTACGCAGAAAAAGTCTACACTATGGTATGTATTTCTCTTTCAATACTACATCGCAGCAAGATTGACTGTTAAAGCATTTAATGCATTATTCTTCTTCATTTTTTATGGAAGCAAAAATAAAGCACAAAGATTGACCACAAATGGCAGTAGTTCCTTAAATTATATAGTCAAAAGTAACATGCAATTTATTGAGCTCAAAGTGAGCAGGGTTGCCACAGTCTGAGAATACTGGGAAATGTCAGGGAATTTTAAAAACTCAGGGAAAAATTGTTAAGTCACCTTTATTTGCTCTATTGACGTTTTGAATAACAAATTTTTCAGTAAAAGTATTTCAAATTTTGTCTTTTCAACCATATGACATATCTTTTATTGTCAGGGAATTTTACCAAGATGTGTCAAGGAATTTGATTTTCCAAATTCTGTGGCAACCCTGTGCTAGAGATTTCATCACAAATCTGACCGTTCTGATGTCAAGTGGATTGTCAGTGAGTGGTGCAGAAATTCATTGGAACATAAATAAGTGGCAATCCCAGCCTTAGAATTTCCTCACTCCACAAAAACACCAAAAGTAAGTGTTCAATGGGAACGATTTGAGTGGAAGCATCTGCGCATTATCATGTTTTTTCTAATTTTTTTAAGAAAAAAAGGATAAACAAAAAAGAAAGAAAAGCTTCTTTACAAGGTCATGCCTTGTACGAGTCTTTGCTCTTGTACTCAAGAATTTTTTGTACCCCTGCTGTCACATTTATTTAACCTTTAATCATGTAACTCAGTTTTATCTATGATTTTCTCTCTTTTTATTTTTAGCAAGAAATAATGGGAAGCAAGCTGAAAAAACAGTTGAAAAAACAGAAGAAAGGCAAAGCAGATCCTCAGTTACCGCCTGAATTAGAATTTGAGATTCCCAAGCCGAGTGTTAAAAACACCCTACCGTTTCAAGTTCCTTATTTTCTTTGGTTTCTAGTCATACGATTGCCACCGCTATGTTATGATGCTCTCAATGAATGGTGGGAAAGGAGGAAAGAAGAACCGTAAGTTCAAATTAATCCAATTTTCTTACATAATTAAAATGATTATTGTAGTCAAGGTGAATGCTGAACAAAGGACCCATAATCGAGAAAGCCATTTTGAGAAAATGGATTTTAATTTTTGATTTTGGTACACGGCAAAGACTTAGCAAGAAATAAATCTAATTTTGCTGTTTATAGTTAGCTTGATTCTTTCCTTGAAGGCTATGTAGTAAATTTTTCGATAATTTTCGTTTTTTATCAAAATATGTGCGCTCGATAAAAGATTACTCATGTGTGAGAAAACAAAAATGATATAGGGAGAAATACATTTTTGGTCTGCTGTTTTAAAATAGAGTTTAAAATCCAAGATTAGATGCTATTTATCTCATGGCAATGCCATTATGAGCATTTGACTCTCTCACATCGAAATCGTCATCAAACTCTATTCTTAAAATTTTGAACATCAACATTACATTCTCAAAATTTGCGCAAATTTTAATGATTCCTACCCCTTAAATATGAAACAGATTTTTAATCCATAAAAAGGTCAATGCTTATCAAGACAGTGTTGAGGATGAGAGATCATCAGATCTTCAATTTTCATCCTTATTTTTGAGCACAGATCAAAACTGCACCTTCTTGCTGTATGATCCAAAATTCCGCACTGAAATTATACGCTTACCTAATTCAGTTTTCAGGTAATGACACTTCTGCCAAGGATTTTAGGTACTTCAAGTCTAATAAGAGCACTCTCCCAAATTAAAAGTTTGCATGGTTTAACTGGCCTACATTTTGCAATTTGGAATTACTATTTCTGCCTCTGTGGGGCGATTATTGAAACCATGTCAGCACAATAAGACAAGACATAGCCATATTTTAACCATGCAATATATCGCATTTTGATGTCTTATCGGACTGGTTTAAACTTTCAAGAATCGGTCCGCAGTTCAGAAACACCATTTGTACCATTAGTTTCCTCATGCACAGAAGTGTTTTTACTGATGAGCTAGAAATTTTAGTTTCTAATTGCATGATGCAGTCCAACTTATCACAATTGATCTCATCCAGTTACATTTAAAGTTTCAATTTACTACACCTCTCATTTTCTATTTTAGCTCGAATATACCTCGAAAAATAATATATTCTCTTTTTTGTGAATCACAGGGCGGAATCAGAGCCAGAAGTGGAGATTCGAGAAAAACCTAGACGTAAACGTGTTTACAATAACCCACTCCCTGAGGTAGGGAAGGATGCCACCTTACGACAAGCAAAACCAGTCGCACAACCGAAAGCACCTGCTGCCAAGCCTTCTGTGCCTTTAATAGTTGGTGGACTATGGACAGACGATGATCTCGCAGAACTGGTTCGTCTAGTCAAGAAGTTTCCCCCAGGGCTACCGGATAGGTGGGAAAAGATCAGTGAAACTATGAGAAGACCTGTAAATGAAATCACGCACATGGCTAAGAAGCTGAAAGAAGGCAATTATCAAATCAACAGCACAAAAGAGGATGTGGAGTTAGAACCTGAGGCTCCAAAGAAGACAAAAACGAGAGGTGGGAAGATGGGTAACGATGAACTACCCAATGGGACAGTGGAAAACTGGTCTCAGACTCAACAAAAGGCCCTGGAAAATGCCATGGCCAAGTATCCGAAAGGTGGTGTAGGTGACCGATGGGAAAAAATTTCTAATGCTGTTCCAGGAAAGTCCAAAGTAAGATGCACCAATTTTATTTTCTGTTGTTTCAGAATCCAAGGATTTTGACAAAAGTTGTATTGTTAACAGCTTAGCAACCCAGGTTGCAGATTTAGCATCTGCCGTTTTTACTAATTTGAGAATCAAAGCTTTATTCGATTGGCTGTCAGTCTTTGCATCCTTCAGAATGAACGATCCCTCTAAAAGGGCATCTTCACTTCTTCTTCATCAAGAACACTTAAAATAGATCTAAAGATTCTTCTTTCCTTGGTTTTTGCAACCTTTTACAGTCTATCACCCCTTCATCACTCTCACTCAACTTAGGAAGGTTTTCATGATTTTTGGATTACTTACTTATATCGTGTGTTCTTGAGTTGAACTGATTTTTTTCTCTTGTTTATTTTTGTTCACTATGGGGGAATCATCCTCTCTGCTTTTTTTGTTGTATCGAAAACCCAATGTCTAGTACTTTAATTCAATCTGAATTTTGTTGCTCACAGGAGGAATGTTTATTAAGGTACAAGCATCTTGTTGAGATAGTCAAAAAGAAGAAGCAGATGGAAGAAGAAGAGAAGCAGCAAGGTGAACAGCCAGTGAATTCCCTCTCTAATTCTGAAGATGTGACCGAGGAAAATTGTTCTCAAATACCAGAGATCAATGAAATTAGTTAATAAATTAAAGAAAAAAAATTATTAGGTAAAACTCCTCAGATGATATGATTTTGAGTTAGGATTGTAATGATAGTCAGGCATTCCATTTGTAGAAAATCTTATGTCTAGTTTTATGAAGGCCACAGACCTTCATTCTAGCAGATTTCTAAAGTCCTTACTTGTTCCTCCAACTCGTTCCGGTGAAGAAAATATGACCGGTATTGTTGGTGTTTTTAACTTAAAATTTTGAGTTTTTTCTGTGGAAACCTTCAAATTTGTGTAAAATTTCTCTAGGACTTCTAAAGTGTGTCTGCGCTTTTTAGTTTGTGACAACTGAAAACAATTTTTCTCATCAACCATTATTGTATCTCCTCACCATTTTGATTTGCCTTTTTTGTATCTTCAAGATAGTAACTCGAATCATTTTCTGTCAAAATTTTGAAGTTATTTTACATCTTGTAAAATCGAACTAAGGTTTTTGATCTTGTGTCAGAAATTATTTGATTTTAGATAGGAAGCTATGCTACTGTTGAATGGAGCTCCTCTCTTTTGAAAAAGACAGTATTTTAGTTTAAGGATACATATTACTTAGGCACAGGATTATTTAAAGTTGAATTATGAATTGAGTCTAGCCTGGGAAAAAATTGACTCGAGCAATATAGTTTACTGTATTTATATGTGCTACCAACCAAACCGAACAGACACAACTGTTAAACACACTGTAACCTTTTCAAAGTATTTTTTGACCCAGAAATGATGCCCAACGACATTGCTTATGAATAGCAAATTTTATCTCTATGTGGCCGTTGAAGTACTACATGAGGCGAATTCTTTCTAACTTTAGACCCCCCTCCGTTCTAGTAATGGACCTGTAAGACAACCTCTCACCCCCCCCCCTTTCGCTTTAATTAAAT